CAGTTCGATGAAATGTTTCAAATTGTATGTGAAAACACCACACTGTACCCCAGAAGTGCACTAATGTACATAGTTACCATTCAATTAAAAAAAAAAAAAAAAGAACTCACTTCAACAAGTGATTTTGATTCATACCAGCAAATAAACTAATTCATAGTAGTAAGATTTAATAACACTTTTCTTACCCAGGGGTGCAAAGTTATGGATCCCTTCTGCATTGTCAGGCTCAGAAGCCAGTATTCTTGTTTTCAAAGAGCTGTCAACAGCTTTATTTGGACCAGAATCAAGAAATTTCATAATAGTTGATACCATACTTCTTGCAGTGTTAACAATAGCCCTTGTACTAGTAACCATATTGTTACATATAAGTTGAACACCACCTAAATTTACAAAGAATATGAAAGGAAAACTATGTCAGGATGGATGCTTCAACATCACACTATCCCACGCTCATAAGTAACAGTTTGGGGATTTTAACTTACCCATATCATGGAATGCTTTCAAGGCATCACTAGTATCCAACACTCTCAAAATGAACCACAATAATGGCTCAGATAACTGACAAGTAGCAAGAGAACCCTAAAAAAAAAAAAATGCTTATTTTGTGATTTTAATCTTCCCATGAAAAGGCAATTAAAATTCTTAGTACATGTATATTTAATTTTTATAAATTCAGTTTGCTAGAACACATAAGAAATCTTACTGGATCAGAAAGGACATACCTTCTCTATGAACTCAGAGCAGTTTTTATTACATCATTATCATCAGTTTTTATATTAACATGTATTTGCTAGACACTAATTTTATTTAAAAATTTGGACTTTCTCAAATATCTTTGTACTTTCCAATGGAGAAATAAATACATTCAACAAGTATGTTAAGAAAATGGTAATTATACACTGACATTAAAAAGAGTAAGAAATTATTTCAAAATGGTAAATGAACTATAAAGCCTATAATATAATCAAACAGGTTCCTATAATTTCATTTTTACAGAAGAAATACAAAAGTAAAACTTCCTACCCTATTTTTCTTTTTAAATTACAGTAATTCCCTTTATAAGGAAGAAATCTAAATATAGCCAATAAATTTTGGGTTTTTACAACATAAATTTGAAAAACACTCACATTAAATGTTCTTAACATCTATGTAAAAAACATCTTGGCATTCTCCTATGCTATTTTTAGGGAAAAGAAAGAACTAATTCTAGGGATTATGGAAAGAAATATAAAATTTAAGAACACATTAAACGCTTTATTCTTGTATTACTGTGGTCATTTTTTAAAATAATCACTTCAAGGAAACTGTACTCTGAACTTTTATTAGTAATCCATGGCCCTCACACAATGATGCTCTTCATTGTTCAACACAGATTAATTTAAATTGCACATGAACTTTTGGCTGCCCTGTATAATATGAACACACTTATTTGTCTCTGTCCTACATATAATTCTCTACCTGGGCTGCCAGAAGTCTTTAAATTACTGCAACTATTTCTGGCTTGCACTTACTTGTCTGCCCATATATCCACAGGCCATGTAGGTTAAAATTGGCTGCAGCATCATGTGGACTGTAGAAGCTTTTTTACTAAGGGTTGTCAATATGGTAAATAATCCATCCCCAACTGAAATGGCATCTAACCCACCATGAAAATTTTCATGTTTAGTGAGATGTAATCCACTTGCCCCTAATAAAAATAAAAGATTACACATTTTTAAAAAGTATATCCTTAAAGACCAAAAATAATTAAAACAGACTATAAAAAGTCATTTTTCTGAAACCACTAAAAAACGAGTATGTATCATTAACAGCTGCAAACACACACACACACCACCTAGATATTAAAATTTCTACAGTATTCAGTACAGATGTTCTATTAATATTACATGAGATGACTGATAACAATAAAAAGGATGTGCTCTGTTATACATATATGTCTAAGGAACATCACTCTACATAACTAACTACACATGAAGGAGGGAAAAGGAACAGAAAAGATAGTGAGATGTCACTATACTTCAAAACATCGACTCAAAAAGAAGATATGCTTGTTTCCCATGCCCTGACGAAGAAAGAAATACCAGCAGGCAAAAACAGATTAGATAGGGATTTTTGTCACAATTTATGGAAGTTTAATTTTAAAATGTTGTATATTAATATTAGCTTTCAAACAGGTACAAAAGTTAAAAAAGAATGTTTAAGCAATATACAAACGTCACTGATACATGTGTTGCAGAAGTTTTGGCTAGGGCTGGGTTTGAAGCCCCCACCTCTAGCTTATGGGGCCGGTGCCCTACTCCTTGAGCCACAGGCACCACCCTATATTTCATTTCATTTTTAATGAAAATGTGAACCAGTAAGTCTGACTGGTCTCTAATACAAAATTCAGTGTGAAATTCTTCATCTCGAAACATTAGAAATGTCTGGCTATAAATTCTAATACCCAACTCATGAAAGAAATTAATGTTTTTCTTAGTTGGCTAAAGGTTATTTTGTTATTTTCCTATATTTTATATTTAAACTGACATAAAATTTTTAATGTTTCACTTTCATTTATTAATTGAAGCTCTGTAACAGTCTTTACTAATAAAAATCAGCTACAATAAGAACTTTACAATAGGAGCAGCGCTTGTGGCTTAAGTACGGCACCGGCCCCATATAACAGGGGTGGCAGGTTCAAGCCCAACCCTGGTCAAAAATGCAAAAAAAAAAAAAAAAAAACTTTACACTGCACAAAAAAAGAAAAAGAATCCATACATTGCCAATGAAAGTAGTACCAGAAACAAGTGTAATACATACCAATTATCATTGCCATGGCACTGCTATTACATAGGCCCAGAGCAGATAAAATCTGGCTCATAATCTGTTGATTGGCCAAGACTAAGTCAGCAACATAAGCAGGTGATCCTTGAATACTGGAACTGCTTCCATTGCCATCTTTCCCTCCTGAGACTTTTTCTTCATCTGAAACACTATCTGTTGTATTGGTGGTCACAGACACTCTTGCACTGTATTCCCTATTGCCTGAAAGAGGCAGCTGTACTAAAATGTTCACAAGTTTTAACAAATCAAACATAAGCTGATCTCTTGTCATTTCACCACAAACTGCTTTCGCATCACCTGGACGAATGAGGTTGGCAAACAGTCCTCCAAAGCATGCTCGAGCGCCCACAGAACTATCTGATCCACTTCTGGATACTACTTTGTCTGAGCAAGTGATATAGTGATGCACCAAAAATGTGACAGATTCGATCACAGCAGAAATGGTACTAACTGAAACAACTTCAAAATTTTGCTCCAGAGTGAATTCTAAGAGCTTCACTTGGGCATCAAGAGGTCCTTGGCCTGTCTGGAAAGCACCCCTGCAAAAAAGATTTTTAAAAATTAACCATTTTAAGTAGTTTTCAAAGGAGTAACCACCACACACAAGAAATCTAAACAATAATTAAACTCCCAGTATTCTCTATTTATGTGATGGCAAACACTTTACATCTTTCTGGAGTCTTATTCATGTCTCCATTTTCTATAAACTCAAAAACAACTTCCCTTCCAAACAGAAAACTAAGGGACAAATAAAAATCAAAGAAGTTGATTTTTGAAGATACAGATTAAAATGCTTTAAAGTTACAAGGTACTCACTGTAATAGAATAAGGTCTACTTTGCTACATTCTCCAATGATGCTATTATGAACATTCCCTACTGATTTGACACTCAAAAACTGAAATTCAGTAAAAGCATTCTTATGTGTTAAAATTGAATACTCTCAAACTCTGCTTATGCCTAAGATACAGGAAGCTGGAAAGAACATCATCCTTGACCTAACAGTAAAAAAAGGCTAAATTAAAAGTTGTTTCTTCAAACCATTAGACAGCTGAAACCAACCAAAAAAGCTTGGAAAAAGATAGGCAACTGCAAGGAGATGGAACCTGGCTTTACTGTGGCAGAATTTGAGAAGTGGAGACATTGGCACTGTCCAAATAGGTAAAAAGAATTCAGCTAAAATATTTTAAAATTGCTTCTTGGTTTTATACCTTGATTCTTAAAACAATATTGCTGAAGGCTGATAAAGTGATAATTAGCCCAGGGTGATAATACATTCCACACTCATTCAAAGAAGCCCCCCCCAATCCCTGAATTCCCTGCAAATCATGCCATATGCATCTTTTCTGTTTGGCTATTAAATTGTATGTTATTATAATAAACTAGAAAATGTAAGTAAAGGGCTTTGCCTGAGTTGTGCACATCATTCTAATGAATTATCAAACCTGAGGAGGGAAAAGCCCCAAATTTATAGCCACGTTGGAGAGAAGTATGAGTAGATCAGAGACTGAGGACTTGCAAATAGCATCCAAAGTGAGGGCGGTCTTGTGGGACTGACCCTTAAACCTGTGGAATCTGATCCTCTGGGTAGTATGACAATAGTACTGGAAAGATACCCAATCAAAGAACCAAAGAGCTGGCGTTGGCAAAGACACTACAAATTTGTTGTCAGGGGAAAAAACCCTCAAATACCTTTGGCAGTTTCCTGCCAGTGTAGAACAGGAACTGCTGTCCAGCACAGAACGCCCAAAGATACAGGGCAGAGTTCAGTTGAGACAACCTTTTTGTTTTGAAGAAAAATCACCGAGAAAACCCCATTATACATTACTTCTGTAACAGGAACATTTGAGTGCATCAAAATTTACCTTTCAGTTGAAAGTATGTGAACTAGCTTGAGCAGAAATTCACTGAATATCTGAGGACATGTTGAAGAAAGATGTACTTGTAATCGAGTAAGAAACTCCTGCATAGCTTGTGTAGCTGTTGGACCAACCTGAATAAAATGTATATCCACAGAAAACTGTTACTTTGATACCATTTAAATGATCATGCATTTACAAAATGTCAAGTATGATGTCAAGAATTTACATAAACCTCTGCACTGATTTTTGCCAGTAACAATGATCTTATCCCATTTCCAAACAAAGGAGAACTCAAGTGTAGAGGTAAAGTAAACCATAAGAGGCCATGCTTCTAACAATTAGGAGAGCAAATACTGAAATTAGTGAAAAATAAAAGAAAAACTAGAGCTAAAAAACTAAACCGAGTCACAAAAAAACTTCTATTTCAACAGTGAAAGAAATGATACTGAACACCATACTGAATAACATGAGGTATGTTTTGGAATGTGTTATGACACTTCTATGTATTATTTTACTTGATCCTAATTTGGTTTGATGGACAAATCATAAAACCATGAAGGCATGTTGGGGAAAAAAACACTATAATCCTCTAAATATTTTAGAGTTCAATAAAACTAATTTCTAATACTGAGTATATAAATCCCAGCACTCTTGAAAATCCAGTATAAAACCAATATATCAGTACAGAATATTATTGATCTTCAATCATTTTTAGAAAGTCTTTAAAAGTACTTCTTTCTGCCCTTAAAATAAACAAAAAAACAGCAGGAAAAAAATTATTATTTTATACAATGCTTGCTTTTTGACACCTAGCTCTGTCACAAACAGCTGTACACTTCTGGGCAATATAGCCGATGCTTGTTTTCTCAAATGGGGTAACTGAAATAATGGTCCCAGGATTCCTCTTGTTCTAAACTCGATCTTTAAGTACAAAATCCATTAGATAACACATCTCTGTCCCCACCCAAACCATGTCCCAGTCTAACCACAAGTAGATTCTTCTTTCTCACTTTTTTCCTTTTCTCACTTATTTTATTATAACCTACAAAGTTAGGGTGTATTCAATACCAGAGTACTGATTAAATACAAGCATTACAATTTAAATTCTCTGAAGATAGAGATTTGGTCATGGTACTTATTATATTGCTAGCACAAGAAACTATACCTAGAACTAGCATACAGAAGCCTCTTAAATCCTCAATACATGAAATAGAAGTAATGGAACTGTTATAGAGGATACAACTAAATTAGAACTTAACTAATGGAAAATCTAGGTAAGAATATTTAAATGATAATTTTGCAAGGTAATCTTGAGTAATCTCTGTTTAAAAAGATGCTATAAATACTAAATATATTTTTATATGAGAAGAAATACGATGTAGAAATATTTATATAAAAGCAGTATGATACAGCAAGAAATTAAACTGAAAAAATAAAAACTATACTGAGATGAAAAGTGCTTCTAAGTCCTGAGTAATAATTTGTTAAACAAAATCATTAATATAATAAAAGGATTAAGGTGAATTGTCAATCTTGATAGAAAGCATCAAAAGTGGTATTATTAAATATTTTATTTCAAAAATTTTTGAAATACTTTCCTGACTTTACAGTAA